CTTAACATTTAACACTTCTTAATACCTCCATTTCGATGTTTTGCCGAACTGTTTAGGAAAAGAACTGTCAGTATTCAAACTCTTAATTCCTTGTAATTATATTCATCTCAATGGAATAAGTGAGACAAAATATTGTTTGGGCCACATTTGATAAAAGTAGACAATGTTGTCGCCTGATGTCATTACTCTCGGATCTACTGTGAGATTTCCAATTCCAAAATTGAATTATCCGACAGTGAAAGCGACACCTAAAAGATTTGTGATCAATAGTTTCAGTACATGCATGAATAATTGACAACGAAGAGAAAGTGTGCTATCACTTTAGCAGCTGAATTTATAAGCGGAAGATTTATTTATGACTTTTATTGTTAAGTAACCTTAGGCTATTCCAGGACGCCACTTAATTATTTATATACACTAATAGATTCTTATGGTCTATAATAACGTTGTGGTATGCGCTATATATATGTTTGATGTAAAATGACAGAGAAAATAATTCTAGAACAAGAGGCATGAAATATGTCCCCGTAGTATCAGTTTGTCTCTGTAAAGATAAATGAGTTGTTAATAGCTTTAATACAAAGAGAGAAAACGAGCTACAGATGTGTAAAATATTGAAAAAGAGAAAGATGAAGTTAAGATTGAGAAAGTACTCAAAAACAATACCAGGATGTTTTGTTATAGTGTTCTTCTTGTATTTATTTTATCTGAATAATTTAAGCAACGTATCTAAATATAAATCTGAAAATATGATTAAAACATTAACATTAAGTCGGCAGGATACTAAAAGAAAGGAACATTTGGACAAAATGCTAGAGCATCAAAAATTCGGTATTTGGAAATTAAATAAGACCATTTCGTATAGTGCTAGTGGTTGTGGTTCGGTTTTGTTCGCGGTTTTATTAGCTCGGAAGGAAAGTTGGAGTAAAGTAGACAAACATAGATCGGCGTTTGTGTTTTCAGCGTATCTTGTTGATAAACAGAATATTGTTATAATTGGAATTAAAGCTATGAACATTAAACCATACTACTGTCAGATTTGGTATCAAAATCAAACGCAACAAAAGATGGAAATGCAGATTAAGCGAGCTGAGATCATTACCGTGCCGGAGGGGCATGGTTTAAGGTATCAAACTATTGTTCATTCATTCACCATTTATTAATTCATCCGTTCGTTCGTTTGATCGATCCTTCAAATTTTTATAATTTGAGTTTAAAAACAGTAATGTTTGACAAATGTAGAAAGTTTGATACTTTATCGGTAGTACATATAAAATGATCAGACATGTATTACTGGTATTGTACTGGAGTATTTTTGCAATTATTTCCAACTACTAATACTCTCTCAAAATGGTGGTGCTATTATATACTGAAGTACCGGGGCATTTCTTTGGCTTTCATAAAAATGTCAAAATGACACATTCAAAATAGAATAAGGGTAAAATATGGAAGTGATTAAGACTAACGTACTAATTTATACGTGCTAACAATATTTACGACTGTAAATGACATCACTTGTTATAATATTTTTCTCTAAAATATATTGTATAATTCGACGTTTATATAATTCATATACACGACTGCTGTAAATATTTCAAGTAATTTTCATTTTATCAAGTAAAGCAATTTTGCTGTGCTATTAATTCGTAAGGAAGATTTTGACAGTTATATATATGTGTGTGGCGCCGTTAAATATTGCAATGCTGCTAAATGTCGCACTTGCCGCTAAATGTCGCACCATTGCTGCTAAATGTCGCAACCGACGCTAAATGTCGCAAAATTGACTACCATTAAATGTCGCAACTGTAACGTTACATGTCGCACGATTTTCCCTTACCGTTAAATGTCGCAACACTACCGTTAAATGTCGCAAGATTTATATTCATGATAAAATTAAGCTTGCTAGTGGTATAATATTACAATAATCATAGAGTAAATGGTTGTATATCTTTAGTAACTTTGGGACCTTAAGGAATGTCCCGAATCTGCTGATTCACGACGAAATACATGTATGCTTTTTAAATGTCCCTTTTGAGTGAAATTAAACAGTAAAAGCGATTGATTAAATAAAAGTATGCAAGTACGTGTTATGTGCATATAAAAACCATCTGTTAAGTATATTACTTAGCGTACTTGTGTCCGCCTACTTGCCCCTGACCGTTGCGGGTTCGAATCTCGCAAACATACTTAGTATTCTTTTATATTAGGAAGATACTCCAGGTCGCTGGTTTTATTCAGGTTCCCTTTCGTGCCTGAAATAATGTACGGAGAGGCACCTGAGGTCTTTCTTCACCAATAAGACTGAAAAGTCACAATTTGTCCCTGACGTAAATTCCGACAATAATCTATTTGTATCAGACTGCTCGTTTTGTATATATTGCTGAAAGTACTAGCGTTCTACAATCTAAATATCAATTTGATTATATTTAGGTTATACAAATTTATTTTAGTTCTGTTGTTTTGGAAAGCTTGAAGCGTAATAAAACACTGTAACTGGAATCAGCCAGTACTAAGCAATGATTGTTAAATTATTTACTAACGGTAAAAACAACTTGCCACTGACTGGGTTTAAACCAACGCGGCCAGCAATCTTTAGATTATTAGTCTGGCGAAATAATCACTCGACCATACCACATCTAACTTGATTATTGGCCGGGTTGCACAGGTGCAATATGATGAATGTCGGGCGGCGGGCAGGTGAGGAAAAACTTTTCATTACAGTTTTCTAAGCAACCACTTATTACAGCCTCTTGATATTTGGCATACAACATTGACACATAGTCCCATACCGTTGGATTCGATTTCAGGTATGTTGCTCATTTACTTCATGTTTATCGACTTATTAAAATTTTCGACATCAATGGTCAATGGTAGGAAATTTTTGTAACAGTTTTCTCAGCAACTACTTATCACAGCTTCTTGATATTTGGCACACATCATTGACACGTAGCCCTATAAGGTGGGATTTGATTTCAGGTCTGTTGCTCATCCACTTTCTTTTTACCGACTTAGTTAAATTTACGGCATCAATTCGTAACATCACACCATCATGATATTTGATATACAAATGCAACTTTTGACCCATTTTTTAAACAGAAGTCTCATTTTAATCTTATTACGCACATTCAATGTGTGATAAGATCAAGACCCAAATAAAACAATTAATAATTATAATTCGGTCATCTGCGGTTCATAATACGCTTGTGAATGCGTGAGTCTGCGTTTGTGTATAATTGTGTTTGAATTAATTGCCTTTGCCACCATCAAAAAAACATGAGATCACTTCCATTTCCTTTCTGCAGGAGTTATTATTATGCCACGGCTAGCCGCTATTCATACTGAATAACGCAACGGAATATGATTTAAAACTCCGTGACCATCTACATTCTTGTCCATGCTTGAACTCAAGCTATATACCTTATAACCAAATGGCTCAAAATGATATCAATGTCAGGCATTACAGATGTTTGTGATTAATGAACTTCAATGTTTCCAAATAGTGTTTATTATAATAATATAAAATATGTGATTTAGATTTGCTACGTAATATACACTAGTTTACCTACGTCTGGCATAGGTAAATGACCTATCATTTTACCTACCATGCGAGGAATTCAGGCGATATCAAAGTCTAGATATACCTTTACTTATCACTATATCACGCAATACCTTTCTGAAACACATTTGAGACTACATATCGCTAAAGTCTTGCATTTATTCAAACGGCATCAAACTATCAGAAATGTGATGCTTGATATAACAATGGAGATTTTCTAACTACTTCAGAACCTTTTATAACAAGGTTTTTTACATTGAACTGCTACTGAAATTCGTGCTTAAACTACCAAAAAATGCGATTGAATTTGGTTAATTTCCTGTAATATCGCTTGTTGCTATTTAAATACAAACCAATAATTGCAAGGTAATTAGAATCAAATGATATTATTTTTAACATGTAAGTATCATCTTGTGTAATCATCAGCCCGCCAGGTAAGACCAATAAGTAAAGTGTCTGCCATTCTCCGATGATTTAGGTTGAGAAATTTAAAAGCATATTAAACTGGTCATGAAAAGCAAAATATTAAACTGGTCCTAATAATTCTTTTCTTTACAGGCAATGAAAGAAAAGAAAAAAGAAAAGAGCGAAAAACTAATCAGATTTGTTTTCATCAATGAAATTTATAAATCTAATCCAATCGTGATGCCTAGATAGTATAATACCTATAATACAGGTCTATAAAACATGCTTGTAGATGAAAAGCCGACACGCAGTATAAAAATACTGGTCTAAAATTGAATTTTATTTGAATCTTTCTTGGACAATCCTCTTGCTTGAACCCTTGACATCTGGGTTGCGAAACGAAAAAAGTATACAAATGCGTTTTATCACCAAAAGGGGCCCTTTGGCATAAATCATGGTCGTTAATTTATAATACCGACAAAGATTACTTTAATTTCAACCAATATTTTAGACATAACAGCAAATCATTTCATATCTGAGAGAAAGCAGGTCCCCAGTTCACTAACATAACCTTAATATTGACATAATACCAGTTTTTGTACATGAATTTAGATATTGCGACATTAACGGTAGTGTTGCGACATTTAACGGTAAGGATAAATCTTGCGACATTTAACGTTACAGTTGCGACATTTAACGGCTGACGATTTTGCGACATTTAGCGGTGGTTGCGACATTTAGCGGCAATGGTGCGACATTTAACGGCAAGTGTGACATTTAGCGGCGTTGCGACATATAACGGCGCCACGCTGTATAAATGAGTGTTTGCAATATAACCCTAGCATAGCGACTCTGGTTATAAAAGTTAACAACCTTACATACTTGATCATATAACCTGTAAGAAATCTATATAAATACAACTATATAAACATTTTCACAGATATGGTAATATAATTGACAATTAACATATAACGTAATACAGGTTATCTTTCTACCGACTATTCTAGCATTATTTCGTTCTCTCTATTTCAGATACACACCTATTTTATTTCAATGCTTACTTTCAACATCAACTGGTTATGAATTGCCCACACATGTGTCCATAGTGCAAGAAAAATGCAGGAAACCTGAACATTTGCTGGAACTCCAAATTGTCAATACTGAATATGACAAACGTCGGAGCACACATAGAATGTTCACTGTTTGTTTAACGCCATTAAATTTTCGATATAATCGTTATTATGAAATCATAGAATGGATAGAATTGAATAGAATTCTCGGCGCAGAACAATTTATTGTTTACAATTACTCTTCCGGAAGTAACGTTCAAAATGTTCTAGAATATTACTCCAAACGAGGAATTGTTAAAGTAGTGCCATGGAATTTACCGGTTAAAGTTGATACATTGCGAAGGTCTAGTAATAAACCAGAAATTCATTATTTTGGTCAAGTTGCCGCTTTACATGATTGTTTGTACAGAAATAAGGGCATCTCGGAATTTATTGTAAACCTCGATCTAGATGAATTCATAATACCACATGATAATAAATCACAGTCATGGTCAGACATTATTCAACAAGTTAAACAAAACTTTAACGCATATTTATTCAGAAACACGTTCTTTAAAAAAGAGTGGGACAATTCAGGTATTGATATACAAAACAAATCATTTGTGGACAAACTTCAATTAGTAACTCTCCAGAAGTTACAACATGAACGGAAGCTATTTGCGCCAAGAAGCCGCTCAAAATATATAGCAAAAACTGCAAATGTTTCACATTTAATGATACACGAAGTGCCAGGTGTGTACACGAAGGTCGTGCCACCAGAAGTAGCTTTTCTTCATCATTATAGAGACTGGGGAACTACAAATGACACCCCGCGCAACAAGGTGCTAGACAATACCGTACCAAATAAATTTGGCAGTACTCTAGTGAAAAATGTGCTTAAAGTTCGGAATGACATTGAAAACATGCCCTAAAATGTTTGCTTTTGTTGTTCATTATTCAAGTTTTAGTTAAGCGATTTAATTTTTTCTTTCCATATTTTGCCATATTATTAGCACTCACTGCGTTTATAGAAAGATAAAAAACAAATGATGATGTAATAGTAAATGATAGTAAATAGTAATGATGATATATTGATTATATATTTTCGCCACAGATAATAAATTTTTTCATGTTATTATATAGTTCTTTGTTTACGAAGGGTCATGAAAGCCTTCCTCTGATTATATTCTTTCATTTCTTCATCTCTTGATGATTTCAGAAACTATTTCTACTTCTCAACTTGCAGAATAAACAAAAACAGAGTTAAAAGCTTTCTGAAATGAAGAATGAACATAATAAACATATCAAAGGGTCTTGACACATTATTTCAGCAACTCACTCTTCAGGTTAGATAGTAATCATAATTAACATTTTCAGAATCCTTTTGGGATTCTGAAATAAAATAAGTATTTCTAGAAACATTTTCCATGGCCTCAAACATCATTTTAAACTTCCAGAAACTCTTCTTACTTGACATATAAAGGAAATTATAGTTTCCATAACTCAAAATTCTTAAATTAAAAACACAGTGCTTTACTTATTTCAGAAACTCTTACGCCTTTCGGAGGACCTCCCCATTTTAAGATAATTTTTGACAATTTTTTGTTTGTTTGAGACTTGAGTACTTCACTGTTGTTATATTTTTCTGGTTCTTCGAAATCATTGACTCCAGCACTTTAAGTATTGAAAATTGAGTACCGTTCAAGCCGGTGCTAGCGGGCGTGAGGAATGTTGCACTTTTTCATTATCCCACATGTACAGACTCAATTAAACCGAGTCGTAACTTTGCTGTTTTTAATTCTTCCGATTGATCTCTTTTCGAAGATATTGAGATATCTGATTCCGCTTGATTGAACCCCATTAGTGTGGAGAGTTATTAAAATAAAATTTAAAAACAAACAACAATTAATTAAAAAATAGACTGGTTTACGGAAACTCTTTGGTCTGGTTTTAAACATGATAAATTATAAAGTTCAAGAACTCTTTGGACTTAAGCAAAAACAGAATGCATAATTCAGACTATTTTGGCTGGTTTAAAGCATTTTATAAATACTGTTCCCATAGCTCTTATGATCAACAAATCATTTCAGAAACACTGTCAATTGATTACAAATTACATCTTTAAATGTTAATAAAATTATTTATTGAATTCATAAAAAAGAGATTTTACTTATTCGTATAATCCGTAAAACAAATATGAAAAAACAAAATCATCAAGAAAGGGCGGCACTCAATGAACGCATCCCCAAAACAGGACCACAGAAAGGAGCCCAACGGGACACCAAACCTGAAACATGACACCAAAAACATTTCTCAAACATGAACATTCCAAGACTACAAAGGATCTGTCAATTGATCAAGAATTCGTGGTGTTGCGTTAGGGCCACCTACGAATTAACGTCTGCAATGTTTACAGAATTATGTTAATAAATACATAAAAAGATGTTTACTTATTCAGATTCTTAAAGATCCTGTACGATGTGATCAAAGTGGTAAACTACACTAAATAATATTATATATATGTACATAATTATGCAAATAAAACAATTTTCAAACATCGAAGAATATGTAGAATATGTACTGCAAATATTTGTACATATTATATGTAATCATTAAAATATATGCATTCATTTCTTATTGTAAAATTTGACTTAAACTTTATAAAAAATAAAGTTTTTATTACCTCAATTTATTTATATGAAATGTTAAATTCTGTAATATCTTTATAAATTATGCTTTTTGGAACCTACAATATTGATAAATCTTAATTTGAACATAATATTTGTGATTAAAAACCATAAGAAAATGTGTTACAGGATCTATAATATTCTGTAGTGCAAAACTATAACAGTGAAAGATCGCACTACCAACGTCAAAAAATCATGAGTGATTCTCCGCGGCTTCCATAGTTAATGACTAAAATTGTCAATACAAATTACGATATTCATTTATTTCCCATTCCGTCGGACTAAAGATATAATTGGTTCGATTTTCTCTTGCAATATTTGAGAGTTCATTTGCAAAATTTTGTGCATCGATTTTCTGTGGTAATGAAGCGTTTTTCTCCAAATTCAACCAGTTACTGAAATAACACCAACCATGACAAATCTTTTTTTGCTGTAAGGTTTTATCCCACTGTGTCGCATGGTCACTTGGGGAGTGTTAAACCAAGAATAAATGAATTTGTCCCAAATTAAGCGTTCGTTGAGCGATATATTCAGGTTATTTCAGATAAAATCTGTAATTGAGACTAGTGTCCAACAGCAGACAAATGTTTGTACAACTTGAAGTAATTAGTCAATATTTTATGTTTCAGTAACGACTGATAAAAATTCAGTAGTGACTTTAATCAGAACCCATCTACACCTTAAGTTTGTATATTAAATAGAGGATATTGAATGAGTGTAAGTTCAATACTAAATTTATTGAACGAGTTGAATAAATTATATAATGCGAGCCTCAATTAAAAAATTTAAATATAATAATTTAACGACTAGAAACATATTTCCTAGTTCAAAGAATACTGAGTATAAATTAATACGGTGCCCAATCTCCATACATTAACATCTTCATATAGTGGTGGTAATGGTGGTAGTTTTCTCTTAGGGTCACAAACGTTAGCCACTTTGAATCCACCATACCCAGTTCAGCCATCAAATCATCTGGACAGGCTGTCAAGCAGTTTAGCAATACTACTTGGCTTCACTTTTGCAAGGAACTGATAACTTCTGTACACGCCAGAGTAGACGTAAAGTGCGAATGACCGTAGAAAGGAGTTCATGATCAATCACAACGAAAGTTACCTTCACCGCTCAGGAATCGAACCCGGGTCGCCCGTTTTACAGTCCAACGCTCTACCTATTAACATCTGCAGAGGCACGAGGACGCTTTTGAAGAAGTGCGTCCGCAGGCGTTTTTACGAAATGTTCATTCGTTTGTAGGAAGTATCGTTTCATTTTAACGAAATATATTAAGTTTAAACGAAATAATATTACGTTTTAACGAAATAAATAAGAGTTACGAATGTCCATTAAGGGTCTTCATAAAATGTATGTTTTTACTAAATGTATCTGTCATGTGGTCGATATTCGTGTTTTTGAATATCGTTTTTATGTATCATTTTGTCCTTGTATTTGTATATATATTTCTTGTATTTGTCTGTTTACAGTCCGATATACAATCCATTATCCCATATCATTCCTATATCATTCCATTTCATCATCTCATTATAACAACTAATTTCTCATATTTCCTTCTGACATAATTTGCATGCCGGGCCTCAGTTTTTACAAACTTCCCGGAAAACCCACCTCACGCATGCGCACTTTGATATAAATATTTCTATTGGTTTGCGCCAGAAATTATTGTCTTATTTATTTATTTATTTATCAAGGCGTATGTTTATGTCCTTACAGGTAATTGTTGTTATTCATTATGTTTCATTATCATGCATATTTCCATTGATCGTTTATGTATTTCGGAACTGTATTTATGCACTTTGATATAAATATTTCTATTGGTTTGCGCCAGAAATTGTTGTCTTGTTTATTTATTTATTTATCAAGGCGTATGTTTATGTCCTTACAGGCATAAACAGACCATTCCTACATTTGAAAAAGGACCATACGACATTGGTGGCCAGTGTGGATTTTTATGTTTGGATGGTATTTTTTATGGTACGAATATATTGGTGACGAAACTGCGAACACAGACGGTGACGTAGGGATTTCCCAACTATAGCCAATCAGAACATCTTTTATATTTCTTATTTACTTCCGGTGACCGGGTACTCCCGAGGAATTCCATCAAAACAAACAAAAGTTCAACTAGCTAGTTATTTTTCTATATTTTAAAGAGCTCTAACATTTGATTAATTAAAGGTACCTTTTCTTGTTTATATATCAACGTTGGATCATTCACTTCTTCGGACCATTTAAACGACAACTTTATATTTGTGGACTTTGAACATTTGTAAACAAACAGTGTAGTTCTTTAAATTCAGTGTTTACATATTTTGATAAGTGTCTTATTCAATTTAATTAGTATCAAGTGCCATTTCATAGTTATATTGTAAAATGTAGATCTGGGTTGATTTTTTCATTTATCTATATCCAGTGGTGTAAAATCTTGATCAAGATCTACATATTATTTTTCTCGATACTATGGTTAATAATAATATTATGTTTTTACATGCAAAATATCGTTAAATTTGGTCAATAAATAAAAAAGTTATAAGTTATATTCATTGCGTTTTCTATATAAAAGGCATATCCGTTGCGGACAGAAGATACCGAATACGACTTAATTTTATAAATTGATTATTTTATTATTTATTTTTCTTGATACGATGTTTAAAAATAATAAAATGATTTTACATGCAAAATATCGTTAAATTTGGTCAATAAATAAAAAAGTTATAAGTTATATTCGTTGCGTTTTCTATAAAAGGCATATCCGTTGCGGACAAAAGATACTGAATACGACTTATTTTTTATCAATTGATTATTTTATTATTTATTTTTCTTGATACGATGTGTAATAATAATAAAATGATTTTTACATGCAAAATATCGTGAAATTTGGCCAATAAATAAAAAAGTTATAAGTTATATTCGAATTACGTTCTATAAAAGTCATAACCGTTGCGGACAGAAGATACCGAACACGACTTATTTTTTTATGAATTGATTTTTTTTCTCTCTCGATACTATAGTTAATAATAATATGATGTTTTTACATGCAAAATTTCGTTAAATTTGGTCAACAAGTGAAAAAGTTATAAGTTATACTTGTTGCGTTTTCTATCAAAGTCATATCCGTTGCGGACAGAAGATACCGAATATGACTTAAATTTTATAAATTGATTATTTTATTATTTATTTTTCAAGATATGATGGTTTATTATAATAAAATGTTAAATGCAAAATATCATTAATTTTTGTCAATAAATAAAAAAGTTATAAGTTATATTCGTTGCGTTTTCTATGAAAGCATATCTGTTGCGGACAGAAGATACCGAATATAACTTATATTTAATAAATTGATAATTTTATTATTTATTTTTCTCGATACAATGGTTTATAATAATAAAATGTTAAATGCAAAATATCGTTAATTTTTGTCAATAAATAAAAAAGTTATATGTTATATTCGTTGCGTTTTCTATGAAAGCATATATGTTGCGGACAGAAGATACCGAATATGACTTATATTTAATAAATTGATTATTTTATTATTTATTTTTCTCGATACAATGGTTTATAATAATAAAATGTTAAATGCAAAATATCGTTAATTTTTGTCAATAAATAAAAAAGTTATATGTTATATTCGTTGCGTTTTCTATGAAAGCATATATGTTGCGGACAGAAGATACCGAATATGACTTATATTTAATAAATTGATTATTTTATTATTTATTTTTCTCGATACAATGGTTTATAATAATAAAATGTTAAATGCAAAATATTGTTAATTTTTGTCAATAAATAAAAAAGTTATATGTTATATTCGTTGCGTTTTCTATGAAAGCATATCCGTTGCGGACAGAAGATACTGAATATGACTTAAAGATCATAAAGCTTTTTCTCTCCATACGATATTTTTTCCATAATAAAATGAAATAATATGCCAAAAATGGTTAAATTTGATACGTAGCGGAAAAGAGATACCGAATATGACTTTGTAAGTGACATATATCGCACGCTCTGTATGAAAGTCATATCCGTGGCGGACAGGAGATACCAAATATGACTTATATTTTATAAATTGATTATTTGTTTATGAATTGTTTGTCAAAACGATGTTCTATAATAATAAAATGATTTTAC